ACGGCTGGGCCAGGAACATAGTCGACGCTGAATGTTCAACCCTTCAAGAAGGATTGCCTAATTGGGGCTGGCCGGCCTGCATACCTGAATTGCTCGATGACGGTTGTTGTAAGTTAAGTGGCAGGCGTAACCTTGCCGCTGAACGTGATCGCCTCGATCCTGGTGTCAAGGAGGACGATTCCATTATCTAGAAATTTCATACAATCAAAAATACCCCGTATAATACTAAAATTGCAGCAATCGTTACTCGGCACCCTATGGCGACTAACAAATTAACGAGCGTTAGTAACTTGGAGGGAAGGCATGTGAAGGACTCCTTGTCGTGCAGGATGGTCCGAAGGATGACGGTCCTTCGCATAAAAGTGATTTGCCTAATCAGCAACTCATTTCCCGTTCCCTTATGCTTAGGCCTCCCTCTCTGCTAGGTATTTCCAGTTTTACGCGGAGTCCTCGAATCCCTCTCCAAAAATGTGATCGGCAACAGAAGTAGTAAAAAAGAGACAGTGAAAAACTGTAATAATGTCCAGTACGGTTTGGATTTTGATTCTTTTTTTGATTTCTTTTTGATTTGACTGGCAGCTCTGTAGTTGAGCTTCAATCACAGATTAGCCTAATAAAAGGAGTCAAACGTTAGAACGACGGAAGTTGCGTCATCTGTCTCGAGCTCTCTAAAGCTCCAAGTGAATCATTTTATTACGCTGTCACATTCAAAGATCACCCGTTGAAATTATCACGAATCCCGAATGAACATCAGAAACAAAATGATTCGGATACAAGAATATGAAAAACGATAGTAGTGAGGGTGAGTGAGAGTATGAATAAGTAATAACAGAAGAAGAAAGCAAACCATTGAAGGGACGTTCAATGGAAAATCGTACAACCGGGCTTCGACTGAAATTCAACTTGGGCGTCGTGGTCGCCAGGTGGGCGGGTGGCCGACTCTTCACGAGCGAGCGCCGCTATTCTCTCGCATTTTTGAGCTGCGAAACTAGCACGTCCACCATCCTTATAGCGGGAGCTACAATATCCGGTGAGGGCGTGGGAACGCTGAAAGCGGGCGTATGCCTTTAAAGGAATCGGCGTTTTGAGCGATAAGAAAAGTATAGATGTCGACCGGCGCCGGTCGCTTGTGTTTTGGGAGAACTGGCATTACCGCGGAAAAGGAGTTTCAAAAGTGTCGTCATGGAAGAATTGATGTTATCCCATCCATAGGAGATCACCTCTTGATTCGCAAATTATGAACGCACCGTGAGCTGCGCAAACGATGATTGAAGGGAATGAGATCATTTTCGGCCCAGTGTAGGGACTTGAGGGACAAACTACAAAGAGTGGGCAACAGTCTGCCGTTCATTCGTGACTTCGAGAACTGATTAACCAAAACGCTGCCCGCAGGTGGAAAAGGAGACATGGCTGACAATAAAACCGTCACACCTTTCACTCACTCGTTACGTGATGTATACATGTATTTATATCAAACTGTCCCCAAGAAAAGATCAGAGAAGAAGGCCCTGTCGTACAAATTTTTATGACATGTGCGAAAAAAGCCCGGCTTCACATCTGCTTATATTTCATATTTATTCATCTACATCGTCGAAGAAAACTACAGGGACATCATTGAAAAGTACGCATAGAACTTGACAAAGAGTATCACCGTTGTATGACAATGAGATAGATCTGGTGGAACCAAAATTTTTGAACGTAGCACGACTCTCCTCCATCACCTCATCTTCAGCCGTCGTTTTCATGGGCAAATATGAGTGCCATATCACGTGCCTCCAGGACACGTGACGTGGTGTCTAACCTCCTGAATTTCCATTGATACGGTCTTTTTCGCTTTAGATCTATACCCACGCATTTTGCGCAACTACTCTGATAATCTCAGACTTCTGCCACATTGACTTTGAGACACAACTGATGCCGTACTCATTGTCTTGAGACACAACTGATGCCGTGCTATCAGTGGTGCCCTACGCATTGGCCGTCGCCCATCCTCATTCTATTCTGAGCTTTCCCATTGAAATTTCTCTCATCACCTGATTTGATGGTAGTTCCTCTCTGCCTTGTTCTTGTGCGCCACCTACTACAATAGGCGGTTCCTAGGCTTCCCTAAAATCATATTTCCCTCTCTTTGCTGTGGTGTAGGATATCAATCATTTGGTGCTCGAAGAGACGCTATATGCATATTTACCGAGTGAAGTAACATGCTCTGTCAAACATACTACTCAAGCAGTGGAACAGCGCATTCGCTTAGCTGTTGCACGAATGCGCGATAAATCATCCATTCTCCCAATTGACGTGGTGTGGAATTCTCACTAGATTAAGGAATGCACCCATCATTCTGACCAACCCTCTTCTTCCAACTTGTTGGTAGCCCTCAAATTTGCATCATAATATTTCGAGAAAATTGTAGGATATACATCATTTCACTTACCTCACAGAGCCGATCGCTTTTTGAAAAGTGATGCTCGCCATGCAAGTGTATGTCGAGACGGAATCTGCCATGTTTTCCACATGTACGCAGAACCCAATTCCGTCCTGCGAGGCAGCCGGAGAGTATACGGCTGAAAAGAAATCGATCATTCTCAAGATTCACACAAGTGCAATATACTCTTACTACTCGCCATTAGTTAGCTCCACAGGTAACTTTGCTATACGTCCGCTATGCTCCATTTCCGGTAAAACACTTTGCCGTGCTCACCGACTCGTTGCACTTTCGTTTCCCGAGCAATGACGCTGCATGCGTTCTCGTCTTGGCGAGCAACCTGTGGGTTGCCTTGTTCTGCTTGCTCCGTTGTTTCTATCTGAATTCACTGATACCCGCGGGAACCCGTCGACATTGTCTACATAACATGAACGTATAGTCTCGGGCATATCACCCATATCTTCCTCAGTCATAGGCACAACTCAGCATAAATATTCATTATGTTCAAACACTGCTTTCAAGCACTACAATTCCAATACAGTGGTAAAGCATTACTAAAAGGACCAGTACGTATCCACATTGAGCCTTCATTAGAGGGTGTCATCTGTTTTCATTCCCAACATTCTAAACTTCTTCTCAAACACTAGTGCTCTTGTAACTATGAACGAAATACAGCGGAGTTCTCATCCGATGGTGGGGCAGTCCTATGACCAAGTTGGCGAGAGGTTCGACGGTTGCGTTTGGGTGGAAGGGCGGATGCCTGGGGCGATTATCTTCATTGCCTCTGCGCTCTCTGACATTGACTCTGCGCTCAAACACCGCCTGCCGCACTACCTGCTCACTTTTCCGTCTCAACTCTCGCCGATCGATAACAGCTGGCGCTCCCGACCAGCTGATTTCTGCGGTATTTTCGTTGTTGTAATCAGCTTGTAGAAGCTGAAATTATTCTTTCGTCGACTTCACTGAGGAAAGGGTTAGCTGAAACTAGATTACATTTTTTAGCGTTAATCTTCTAGAAAATTGATTTCTCCTTCCTTGTTTTCACAATTTTTTCAACTTTTCTTGAATGTCTTCGTTTAACTTCGATGTCATTGATTGAAATCATGCAGAATGACATCTAGCTTCAGTAAAACATACTTACCTTTTTTACTGAAGCCGAACGAAGACTAATTCGAGAAGAGCGGGAATCACTTTGAAGACAGCTCCCGCGATAAAAGTGTCAAGGATAATTGCTGATCAATTATGAAACAGTAGCTGATAAGTAATTCCTCAATGAAGGAAAAAAGCAACAAGAGCCCTCAAGAACACCACAAACAAAATTGCTCCCTTACAGTTACACCGCCCTGCGGTCCGTGGGCAACCCCTGGCTCACAAATCGCTTTATGGCATTTCCCAGTAGTGGACAACATCCAATTCAAAGAAAAGAATATGAAAAACAACAAAGACACGAACGAAAAACACTTAAAAAGGAAAAATTCAAAAACCTGGCGTCCTAATTTGGGGTTACGTGCAGTGTGCAGCTTTTGGTGCATGTCGAGCTTTTGCACCACAGAAATTGCATCATTCGTGATTTTTACGCGTTTTACCTTACGAGATGGGTTGCAGTTGACTGTATGTGCTCCCAATGAATAAAATGTGATGAAGGAGAGCAGAATTATGGGCACGAGCGCGGTCAGCAAAAAGTACATGCAGTTCCGATTAATGCCCGCCGTCCCAACAAAGAACAACTGAGCGGCTCTCCGTCAGAGGGCAGCTAGCAAGTGGGGCGGTCCAACTGAGCGGGCGTTAGAACTAGAACTTTGAGCGGCTGTAGCTCGCTCCTCGCTCACTGTGGAGTCGCGAGAGTGGGACAGTATCTAGCTTGGGGGCTGAACTACCTGCACAAGGAAGGACGACCATGTACTACTTGAGCGCGGGGGCTGTCTTTAATGAGCGACCAGCCATTATTGATCGCGGAGGTGTCGCACCGCTCGCCAACGTGGATGTATTACGAATGAGAAATCCACTGTAAATCCAATCAGCATCACGCACAGCAATGGCTCCCACGAGTCACTATTTATGGAACCGGTTCAAAACAAGTTGAAGTTGAGATGTTAAGTCCCAATTGTTTAACGTTGCATATAGCACCAATGATACTGAAAAAGGTGCCGCTTTCTTTGGCGCTTGCAGTCCAACATTCCACTTTGATCAGCGTTTACACAATCGTGAGCATTTTTGAAAATGTCAAGGAGAAAATCCATTTCACGCGCAGAAGGAGGATCACGAAGCCGGGAAACCTGAGTGGCAGATAAGAATTACTCGCTACTAACCTGAGCGCGATGCTGCGTCTAGGTTGCCCTGAACTACACTCATCTGCCTTTGAGGCGTTTGGAGCAATTTTGACTCAAGAGTAGATAACAAAGCCATTTCCCACCTTCTTGCTTTCTTGCTTGTTGAGGACTAGGTCATAGTGTAAGAAGCAGGCGATGCGGGCTGATCGCTCTGCGAATATAGATAGCAGCAGCTTTATATTCAGTAGATAGAGATATGAATCAAGTTATTCGGAAAGTGTCATGCTGATAGCCTTATGATAACTTGTTCAAATCTTCGACTTCTTCTTTTGGTTATCCAGCAGAAACTTTCTTGCACCTTAACGAGTTTCTCAGAAGGTTTTGCAACAAGATTTGAACCAATCGTGTTATTCCAACCTACGATTGCTTCAGGAATCACTGAGCAGCTGTTGAATTCAAAAGCAAGCGCCTCTTCAGTGGGTAAGTCGAATGACTCCAACGCTGAACGTCGATCGGCAAGCATGCAGCTATATGGACTACTTAGGATCTGCTTCGCTAACTGAGTTGCAGAATTTAAGGCTGAAATAGAACATTCGTAAATAGCTTTGGATGGAATGCTTCGCAGCTATCTGAAACGCTCCCAACGCTTAATTGTCCCCATCTCTACAAAACTAGTTAACCTCAAAACTACCCCCCCCCCCCTACTTTCCCATGATTGCAGATGAAGATGAGTTCCATCGTAGCCTGAGCTCACTCGTAGTGATGAAGTGAACGAAATACAACCCTTCAGAAGAGGAGATCGCAATCAAACTGCATCGCCTCTCTGCCCCGATGGCAAGCGATAGGGTCGTGAGTGTGAGTTTGTCCCAAAAAAGGTTTATTTGACCCAAGTCAAGGAAGGTTGAAGAAAATCACGTTCAACATTGCATTCTAAGCCAAAAGCCAATCCTGTCTTGTTGAGGGGAGCTATACTTGCGGTTCGAAAGTTATCTACAGCTATGGCATAGGAACCGTTAAGCTGACAGGGTGCAAAATGGTCGCGCATAGCCCGGACAGCACGTACACAACACACTCGACCAATAAGCATGAAGGGCGGGTTCAAGTCCTGGCTGAGGTAGTTTCTTCGGCCCATAACTCACTCCCAGCATTTTTGTAGTATTTGCCCTTTCAACGTTGCTTTCAAGAATATGAACTTTGCAAAGTTCACCTTCGCCATCATCCACAACTTTCGTCACCAGTCCCCATTGGAGAGCTTCGTCAGACGTAACAGCCCGTCCTGTTAGTATCATATCGAGAGCTCTGGAAAAAATAAGTTCTGAATGTGATGAGAAGCACGCTACGCTGTCACTAATAAGAATCAGCGCATCTCGTGGGGCGAATGTACCGCAGTGGAGAGACTTGTACGAGTTTAGCGTCAGATGGCTATGAGGTGAAGGCGTTGAAGCCCAAGGTGCTCGTGTAATCCGCACCAGAAAAGCGCCAGCACAGTCGTACTGACGAATGGCTCGGTTTGCATACACTCTGTTGTGCCCTTTATCTGGCCTCATCCTGTAAATCCCGAACTCGCGCGCCTCTTTGTTCGCAGAAAGGACATGATCTCCATTGCTGGTCACGCCGACACTTTCTTTTGCTTTTTTTCATGGGCTAGTCGGTTAGCAGATGACTATTGTTTTTCAACCTCGCTATTTACAGTCTTTCCGATGGTTTACCAGGAAGCCTGCCTTTGATCGTATTCTCGCGATGACTGCGAGTCGAGGCTGCCGTCTTTTCCTCTCCTCCCGTATCGCAAAATTTCAGATATCATCAATCCCTAGGTGTAGTGAAAGCTCGATTCGTGGCTTGATTGTCCCGGCTGGCCTCTGACCCGGAAATTCGTCTTCTCCCGATCACTAATGCACCTAGATACGCCACCTGCAGGCTTTCTCTCAACTCGATATGTTTCACGCAGTGCTCCTAGCGAACTATAGGGATTCATGGAATGAGTCTGTATGAAGACAGGATTCCGATTAATGATTCGTAATGAAGGGTTAACGGATGCGACTAACGTGGATTGGAGTGGGAGGCAGTCGTTTACCATGCGCCTCGTCGCGTGAGTCAAGATCTCGGATTCGGCCACGTTCCAACTACCACTCACTTTCGTATCTATCTCTGATAACCAACACAAGGTCCCCTGAACGATGGACATACGCTGAACTGTGCTTCTCTGTGAGACGCTGTGTGAAACCGAACGCTTAAACTAAGTTCCGCATAACGATTCTGATGAAAGTGAAATACGGCACGCATCCGAAATAGGAGCTCATCAACATCGGAATTTAGCGCTGAACTGCACACAGCATAACACCTCATTACCGCATCATCAAAGGGGAGAACCATATTTAAATTGAAAAGAGTAACAAAGCATTACCTGCCCAAGCCGATAATTCGTGGGAGGCGTACAGTTCCTCCATCGATCAGTGGGACCCCTACTCGTCTGCAGAAAACACCAAACGTTGCTGAGCGACCGCATACCCTCAAGTCAGCTGAATGAGAATATTTTTCATAAAGAGAATTATTTAATGAAGATTGAAGATATGGAGGCTTTGCTTAACTTAGGACCCTCGTTTGCTGTATCGTCATCCATAAACCAGGATGTGTTGGACTCAGTGCTGTGTGCGTTCCACAAATTCGCCCACCAGATTCGATGGAGGGAGAATTCAACTCCGACTGTGCTGGATAGGTTGTCATCATTTGCGGCATCCATACCTTTCCCAAGAGCATCGGTGACAGCACCAAAACCAGTACCAGCTTTAGAACCCACACTGGCGTCACTTCAACTCAACCTGGTACAAATTCACGCAAGCGAAACGTCGGCAAAGTTTGCATCTAATCTGACTGAGAAAGAGAGACGTGGTTTGAGAAAACTCTTGGCTCTCAAAAACGACCTTCGATACAGTGTGAGTGACAAAGGTGGAGACTTCGTTGTCCTCACACAGTCAATGGATAAAAGCTTGGGTCGGCTATCTCTCTCTGAAAGCTCGACGTATGAAATATCATCACTCCGAGATTTCAAAAAGGTGTCCGATGAACTTCGACGCACAACATCACGGATCTTAAGCAAGACTATGGATAAGGAGGACAACCAAGCGTTTCATCCCCACATACCCGATGGTGCCAACGTATTACGCATTGGTCAAGACGCACAAGTTCTCTGAAGACGTTGACTTATGTCACGTTGAAGAAGACTTGATCAAAACCAGACCGATCATTTCGTCATGTGGAGGCCCTTCGGATAGAGTGAGCTGGTTCCTCACTAAGCTCCTGTCACCGCTTTTGCAACATGTAGCGGCTCATTTAGTCAACGCAGGAGAATTCATGTCAGCTTTGGATCGTTGTGTGATACCTGATGATGCTTCGTATGCAAGCTTCGACGCGGTTTCTTTATACACGAACGTAGACAATGATGGGGCTATAAACTCTGTGATAGAACTGCTGCGGGAACATCATGAAGAAGTACACACTTTCGGATTGATGGAGGAAGATTTGCGAGAGCTCCTAACAGCCACCTTGAAATGTAACATCTTCCAATTTGATGGCACGTTCTATTCACAGAAACGAGGCCTTGCCATGGGATTGAGGATATCGCCGCTATTAGCCATCGTCTATTTGGATCGAATTGAAAGAAGATCACTGATCGCTGGAATTATGTTTTACAAGCGCTACATAGACGATGTATTCGTCGTAAGTTCTACCGCCGATGTGTTGGACACAGTGCTT